ACTTTATCAAAGGCATGTGCGATGTCGAGAAAAATTGCAGCTGTGTACATTCGGTTGTGAAATGCTTCTGTACTCTGTTACTCTTAATAGTTGATGACGTGTGGAGTGGTTTGGACGAAATTTCATACGGAATTTCATTTTTTGAATGACAGTGATGTTTGCTACTCACAAAAATTATTTGCCCCTAAAATCAGTGCAGCAATTCTAAAAAGAATCGCTTACTGTGCATCAGATCCAATATTTAGAAAAGTGGCGCAACTTTAAAAATTACAATTCAAAAACATGGGTTGGCTCAATCTTATTGGCAGTGAAGCATTACTAACGTTCCGAGAAAGTTATATATATATATGGATGTTATTACTTGGTGAAATGAACTCACGCCGGATGGTTTATTCAGTTGAAAGAAGTATAGGCGTGTCGACTACATGACGAAACGAAGTATAGGCGTGCTTACTGTGGCGATAGAAGTGTCGGCGGCATAGCTCACGAACATCGCGAACATTACCATGTTATGAAGATTTTTTTCCTCGCTTCGCCAAACTACAAATCGCCTCTCCATAGCAGTTTTCTGTTATTTTACCCCCGTACAATAATCAGTTTTATGTTGCTGAAAATATTGAGCGTACTAGTTCAGAAAGAAATTTCTAGTTGTACCAAATTTTTAAATGGAGAAGAGTTTTATTTTATTATACTCATTTCCTACGTTTAACTTCCTGAATACATTAATAAACAAACATAATATTTTTAAAACCAAAAGGTAATTTCTAAATAAAAGCACTTTCCAAAATAGTTATTTTTTGATTTATACAATTTTAACTTGACACTAGAACTGTCACTTTGCTTTTCTGCATCAACATCGAATCTCATCCGAAAGTTCTTAAGTGAGGAAGGAAGTGATTTGAAAGTAAATACTAAAAGAAACATACAATACATACAAGTTCATTTGAAAGTCTATAATTTTCTTTTCTTGGCAACTTTTATCACTCAGTCATTTTGTATTTTACAAACATTATTCAGTAAAATATTCACAAAAATTGACATAATAGAGGTAAACATTACAGTTAAATTCTCACCACATTCACAACAATCACCTGCGCGATTAAAAAAGTTGTTCCTGCAGGCTTATTCTTGCAAGAGATTCCTACCTGCTCATCCTCCAATATGCTATAAAATACAGTACTTGTATGATCAAAAATTATGAGCAGAAGCTTTGAGGGGAAACTTAATCCACCACTTTGCAAAATATCGTAGTACTTATTTTCTACTTTACAACCTTTGAATTGCCTGAAGGTACTAATACCCAAATTACACACAATATTTCTGCAATCTGATTGAGCTGTTTAGCCACAAATATAAAATTTAGCAGACAAATCGTGTTCAACATTTTGAAAATTATTACCATACAAATAAATACATGATAACTCATTTGTTATGCTCTCGGTCAACTCATCACTGACATCAATAATTTCAGAACCTGTCACCATATCTGTCAAAACGTGTTTACCAATTCTTATCATTACAAATACATCCTTTATCTTTATTTATTTCCTGACTCAAGAATTTGTTGCTAGGAAATGTTACATTACATCGTGATAAGAACCTTGCAAAAACAGTTTCTCAAGGCAATCTGTTTGAACCTTGCCAGCAAGATCATATTTAACATTCAGATGCTTCCAAGCATATTCTGTTAAATTTATTAAAACTGAAATACGTCTCATTAATGCCTTATGGGTGTCACTAATCAGTGCCCCTTCTTTACCAAAATAGTTTGGGACAAAATTGTGCGGTACCGCACAGCATGCATCGCTACAGCATGGCTACAATGTGCGATATAGCCTCATACATATCGAGGGCAATCTGATTAGCAACCACTAATTCAGAAAGGTTTTAGAGCAAGAGGTACTTCCCACAATTAGTCATGTCACAATTTATGTCAATGCCCGACCGTATGTGGTGAGGAATGTGCAAGCTTTCTACGAAGAACGGCGGGTACCACTGCTTCCATGGCCTGCACTTTCGCCTGACATGTCGCCCATCGAATATGATCGGACGGCAACTTATTCGTTCTGGTCCTCCTGCTTTGTCGTTACTTTGTGTTACTGTCGAAGCTTTGTGGTCACTGCCATGAATCCATGTTACAATGTCTAGAGGCTCTGATGGCAGCGCGTGGTGACTTCACAACGTACTAAATAATCAAGGTGAAAATGCATCGACATTTAGAATGTCGTTGCATAGAATGACAAAATGATTAGAATTAAAGTTCATTAATTCTGATCATCTGTATATTGTGAAATTCCTGACCTATGAAATAAATGTCATTGCAATATTAAGTCTCCTTGTTGTTGCAATTTTTACAAACATAAGTGTATTAAAGTAATAACAACTGCCTAATTCATAACTGAGTCATTCCCTGTCAAATCGCACAAGAGTTTACACACCTTTTTTAAAATTTACGATATTTTCTTTCTTAAATCTGGACATCACAAAAAGAGACACGTATTTTTTAATTGTCTGAAAATTTATTGTATTTGAAATTAACGCTTACTTCACAAAATATGATGAACTGTTGCTCCACAATTACAGTTGTAAAAAATCATATGTAAGTATTGGAGCGTGCTCTGCCCACCCATGCACCAAAGAATTATGTTTGTGTCTTCTATCTTTGATACTAGGGCTGAAGTACTGTGGAAAGAGTTACCGTTTGCCAGCTGAGGTTTTCAAGAGGTCTTGGAACTTCAGATGTTTGCTCCGCCTGCAGAGTGGATGGGTGAGAGCGAAACGAATTCCCATACGAGCTATTTCGCGTCAAATCGCATGGCAAGTGACACGACTCTTTTTTAAATGTGTTACATTTCTTAAATAAATCTGGATGGAAGAACTAGACACGTGTTTCTTTATTTACCTCAAAATTGCTTGTTATTTGTGGAGTTACGGCTGTATTAAATTTTAGAATTTTCGCACGACCTCCGGTACTAGGTACTTTCAACGTTGGTGATAAAACCCACGTATTGTTTTGCCATAAATCCACATACATGTGATGCAGCCCGCTGAAATGAATGGCGCACCAGTCATCAAGGCAAGCTTGGGAAGGCAAAACGTTTCTTAGTATTGGGGCTGCTCGTCTAGCACACTCGTGCCAAATTAAAATAAAAAATAATGAACCCACAGAACTCTTACTACATACAATCAAATGGCGCGCTGAACTATGCAGCTGCAGAAAATCTGGAATGAAGTGAGTTGTAGGCAAACATACCCCTGAGCATGACTTTGGCAATCCCCCTTCAACTGACGTGGCTGGGAATAGCATTCCATTTATCGATCAAAATTCTGTTCAAGAGAAAGCTGTCAAAAGGAAGTCGTGAATTTAATGTGGCTCTTGAATTAGAAGCACCAGGAACGTTTGCTTTAGCGAACGTGATTCCCTAATTTGGGATAACGAAAACATTAACCGGCTCAATCTGAATTTTAATTCTTATTCAGTTCGCACAGCGTAGGAAGTGTACATAGTCGCCTTTTTATTTTCATTTTATCGAGCGATTATCCTGAGTTGTCCAAAATATCTTCTTTTAAACAGCCTTGCTCGTTTCGCCCACACGATGTGTGCATTGCGTGTTGCATAATGATTTTGTTTGAAAATGTCACTCCTTTCCCACCCGCACCTTTATTGGTGGTTTACTCCCCCCTCCGTGTATTATATTTCTCGTAGTAATTTCCTGGTAATAATGCCCTGCGCCTCCTACCGCCCACGCCCGCGTCGCAAGCCGATTGCATTCGATGCCCAGCTTCGTTGCCTCGAAGCATCCCCTCCCCCCCTATTGCCCACTCCCCCTCTGTGTGGATTATCGTTGCGACACCGCTTCATTTTGAAAGTCACCGACCCGTCCATACGACATTTATTTTCAACGGTGGCAGAACGAATCACTTTGGTCTCCACGGCCCCCAGTGGCAAACATCTCGAAGCACGCAATTGTAGCACTGTAACTTGTAGCAATTCCAACACTGTACACTCTCTTCTTTTATTTTAAACTATTAAAAAGAAATATTTTAACTCTGCTCTGGTTCAATTCGACTGAATTGAATTTTAATTTTTTTGTATATGAACACTAAGAGGACGGCATCTATATTTTGACGACTGAGCAACTGTTTTTCAAAAATTCTCAACAATATTTTGCGATCCCCCACAATTCGTGTGCAACCACGCATACTTTTGTCAGTGCAAGCTCTTTGCACCAACCCGGCTCGTGCGAGGTCCGTATCCACTTTATGCTGTTGGGTGTATGGTTGGGTCACACAGCACACAGTGGTTTACAAATGAGGGTGTAGCACCCCCACAAAGGCTTATGGCCTAGATTTTCAATCGAACAAAACTACTAACGACCAAACCGGAAATAAAAAAAGCTGTCGAATTATGTAAATCGGGCGCTTTTTTTGTAATTTTCCTTCTGAAAAAATATATTCATTTGGAAATAATACACAATTTACATGTTTCTATTGTAATTAGATGGTCGCGCTTGTCAGGCGCGTTAATAAAATAATTCCATAGGTAAAAACGCCGCTGTGAAGGACGCCAGGAAACGCGCTGTTTTGAGTACATGTGGCCTTCTTGGGCGCGCCTACGGATCTGTGTGTTTGGCCCCTTCGTCCGGTGCAATCCACGCTAGGCCGCACCCTATGACTCACCAGGAAGTACGCCTCCCGCCCCCAAACCGAGCGAGCCCTTTTTTTCGGGATCCGTGTGACGGTGTTTTCCTAGAAATTGTGAAAACGCGTTCGTGACCAACGCCGCGATAGGGCGGAGAAACCACATGACGCGCGCCCTCCACCAATCGCGAGGAGTGACGCGCGGGAGGGCCAAGCGATCCCCAAGGCTTCCTGGCAAGTCGGAACGAACGCTCGAGCACTACAATTCGGAGCCGCGGAGAGAGCAAGACTTACATTCCGATACCGATCAGGGAGACAACAAGAAGTAGGTTGGTCTTGCCGAGGGGGGGGGGTGAGGGCGCTTTCACTCACGGGGAGGGGCGCCAGCGGATTTACTACCGCATCTCCGCCGTTGCATTGCCGCATCGCCACATCGCCTCTGGGGAGACTGGCTCTGAACGACGCAGTGGGCCATGACTAAGTGCCCGACCGCGAGCCCAGAGTGACGATGGGCCGAGACGCGATTGACGCTGCCGCGTAACGGGCCGCCGATGCCCGGACCAGCGCTCTCGGCGGCCGTTGACGCCACCACGCCGCATCGACGCCGCGCCTGCCACCCGGCCGCGACGCCGACCGCCTTGCTGATGGACAAAGGGAAACCGAGACGCAGCCTGCCGCCGACTGCACCACGACAAACGCCGGGGCGCTGGGCCGCCGTTCCTAAGGGAAAGGCCGACACTGCCCGGCAGCCGATGATGAACTGACCCATACGGCCATGTACGAGATATGTTAGATATAAGGTGTTCTAAGGAATATTTTTTTGCCAAAAGCTTCACCTCGTTCAAAAAGGAACATTAAAACCACGTTTTGAAAATGAAACCATGTGTTTAATATAGGGTTTAGCTTTAAAGTTAGCCCTATCACGCATGCTATAGGGAATCTGCGGACTGGGCAGCCGAGACTGGATCCGACGAAATAAGGTGAGTCGGGGGTGACCAAGACGGTGCGGGTGGTTACACTATGCTTCGGCAGAGCAAATTTTTGCCTAGAAATATTTTTCTCTTTTGAATGCTTATTTCGGTTCATATATACATATATGTAATATTTTACTTCTTATCAGTGTCTTTCCTGCAATATTTCAATGCAAAGACAATTTTTATGTAACAGAATGTTAATAAGAGTTTTTCAATTTGACCGCAATTTGATCCACGCGATCACGATTCTGAGCGCCACAACTAATGGATTAAAGTAGCCCACAAACTTAATGTAAATAACCCGTAAGGAAATCAATTTAAAGGTACAATGGTAAACTACTATTGCAGTATTATAAAATTTATTTCTTCTCTCTTTGTTTGGAAACACTGAGGAATTCATGAGAACATTTTCCTCGGTCGCTGAGTGAAAACGGGAAACGTTTACTAATTTGCAGGCGCTGATGTCAGGTATGAAGTCAGAAATTTCGTATCCAATACCATTTTTATCGAAATTTTGGAATTACGGAGAAATTAAAATAACTTTTCACATGTTTGTTTAATTTTTTTAATGGAACTGTAATGTTAGAAACTGCTAGTGCGTACTAGAGTTTTATTTATTTATTTATTTATTTATTTATTTATTTATTTATTTATTTATTTATTTATTTATTT